TTCACCAATTATGACCTAAAAAAACGCACAAAACATTGTATGAGTATGAGTATAGAAAATGCTTACGAACGCTCTGTTTTTTGTTGGAATAACGGTTCCAGAAATATTTCCAAAAAACTTTTTTTTTAAATAGTGCATTTTTGAAGGTAAGTGAAAAAAACTTTTTTTCATATTTTTGAACGAGCTATCACATCCTGAAGTCCTGCGCATATATTGTGAAACACCCTGTATATTTCTTATGAGAGTAGGATTCGAACAGAATGTATTTATTTGTTATTTTTTATCACAAAAAAGTTTGTGGACGCACTATCTGCTCGATTTATCTATCAGTCCATTGTGAATATTCAACAATGTTTCAACCGTGTCAAAATCGGTGGTAACGGTCAAATACCTAGATTGTTGAATATTCACGATGAACTGAGGTGAATCGAACAGATAGTGCGCGTCCACAAACTTATTAAATAAATTCTTTTCGAATCCTATTCTAATAAGCATAATGTTTTCGATGTAAATTAGGCATTGCCTCTTTCACTATTTTATCTCTCATTTCGTTATCGATGAAACTTTTTACGAATTGAGGTATCGCATCACCCCTCATTCCTATTCAGAATCCAGGGGTTGTGCGTCCCCCTGGTAGAGGGTTGAAGTTACGGGGATGAAGAAAGTATGCAAGTCGTTCCCCCACGAATCAGAAATCGAAGTATCTTCATTTAAAGCCCTAAAATCGGGGTGTTGAGTTTTTGTTGGACCACCCCTGTAGATATTGAAATGAGAATTCTCTTCCACAGTATATGCACAGTAGGAAGTGCACTGAGATAGGTACACACAATATATACCACAGTATATTATTCTTTTCCTTCCACGGCCTAACTTGCGTCAGCGGAGTCTGCGCCATAAAATGGAATAGTAGTGGAGACTTTGTGTAATCCGGTGTCAGTCATATTAATGCTGCCGGACTGTGCTGATTTTCTTCAACTTGAGGAAGAAAGTACTTCAAAACTTTTCCTCAACAGTAAATGCAATGGGATACTACTTTTTTTAAACCATCTAACCTTACTCGGCCTAAATGAACCTTTTTCCTAAAAAAAAACAGTACTTTTTCCACTTGAGAAAACAAAATTAAAAAAAGCCAACTGTCACAGGCATTGAACCCGGGTCGCCGACGTGAGATTCAAACGCACAGTCGACTACGCCACGAGTTGTACTAATTGTGGTAGTATGAAGAAAGAATCCAGTCGCTGTACCTGCACTTGCCACGCTGAATATATTTATTGTCTCCCTCTGTCATGTTTGAGTTCATGACAAACATTAACTTGACGGTAGTATTTTTCACAGTTGGATGAACCTAGTATATAAGCAGCACACTAGAATAGAATATTTAGTTTTAATCTTCTCCTGAAGATGCTAACATATTTAGCGAAACACGTGTCAAAAATCGGTTTGGTTAGTGGTTAAAGAGTGTAGTGTAGAAAGAATAAGGAGATATCGTGAAAATATCGGTAAAAGTGAAACGAAAAGATATCAACTCTACCAATCTCGCTACCAATACTTTTTCTCAGTAGGACAATCCAAATATGTTTAGCTCTCATCTTGAGACCATCTGAAAGACATCTTTTTCGGTAGTAGATTTAAATAAAAGACTCATTTGAATCGATCATTACTCCAATGTACCAGGGTGGTAATACTTGAAGCTTATTCCGCCATAGAGATGATTCAATTCTCACTGAAGGGTAAAACCCATGCAGTAAGCCCATCAAAGGTTTATCACATCTTGTTCAAATCCACGATTTCACATCATTGATTTGTCATTTTTTGACGTATTTTTCTTGACCGCTGTCTGCTTCTTTGAAATCTTCCCGCATGTTTCAAATCGAGTAATGGAATTTTCACATATTCAAGTCATGATTAATTCATATCATTTATCAGGTAAGAAATATAAATCAAACCAATTTTTCATTGATAGTGTCGAAATGTTTCAAATATTACCTATTTTCAGAGTTTAGTTCAGTTTAGAGCTTATTATTCTGGAAAAATATACCAATAAGTATACCAATATCTCTAATGACAAATGATGTACCAAGTAGCTCTTCCCAGAACCCCCAAAAGATACCGAATGCTCAGAAAGCTGAGCCAAAACTATCAATCATTTCCATAGTTTGCCGAATTTGTTATGATAATGAGAAAGAAGAGGAGCTTATTTCTCCATGCAACTGCAAAGTTAGAATCCATTTTAGCCCAGCATAGACATATATTTTGTATCATCCATTTCTCCTTGAAGTGCGCAATGTAGCATCGGTAAATGTAAAAACTTATATACAGAGGGTGTATCTAAATAACACCGAAAAAATTCAAGGGGGGGTTTCCTTGTGACATTCTAGCAAATGAAGTTCATATAAACATGTGCCCTAACTTGCTCCGTTTTCGAGATACAGGATGTTGAAGTTGGAAGTATTGATTGTTTTTATTTATAATCCCCCTGTATATGAGCTTCCATGGTGCCAAAATTCAGTATGGTTGGAGACTGAAAAAGCCCCAAAATTTCAAAATTATACTAATTGGGGTTATTGAGTAATCTCAATCGAAGTTTTGAAAACACGCCTACATTAAAATTTGGAGTCAAATCGAATTTTTATTGTTTCCTCAAAAATCAAGCTAGATACAAAAATTACACAGAGGATAAAAAAGTTGTTATTTCAATAGTTCAATCTGAAAAAATATGAAACTCATAAAAACCGGCGGCGTACAATGAAATTCACCATAAATATCGATAAAGTTTCCCACTGTGACGCCACTGGAAATATTATTTCCAATCTAATTGTACCAGAAGGAGCTCCATATACATAATAACAAAACCACAACGTTTCATTGAAATTGATGGAAAGACAATTGAGTAATTAATAAAAAAACAATTTTTCATGGAAATATTAATATACCCCTGTATCTCGAAAACGAAGCAAGTTATCGCCTCTTAAATTTTTTCTGGGTTATTTAGATACACCCTGTATATGAAAGTTAGGCAAGTCAATCAATAAGGTTAGTTTAGTTCATTGTACCAGTCGTATTTCACCTGATGAAGTTACATCTCGTGCATGAACGGCCGAGTCAATTCAAAATTTGTAGCATCGGTGTATAATTTTCCACTAAAATATATTAGTACAGGGTGTTCCAAATTCGAGCCTCATCCTCGGCCTCATCATTCGGATCTCGGAAAGTAGAATAAAAAATACGAGATCGGTTAAATTTAGGCAAAGTTGCGCATTTTATGCCTAAAAAAATGCCGATTTGAAATTGAAAAATTCCGAATACTATCACAAGAACATCTAAATCTTGTTTCTATTGATTTTGGTAACCCTGAGATGTAGATATTCCGCTTGTGTTTAACTGATGGAACTTTTTAGTATTGTTCCGCTTGTAGATCTATGCGCTTGTGTTCAACTGATGGAACTTCTCTGGGAGTTCAACATGCATATAAAAATCCTCAAACTACTTTATTGTGTTTTCGCTTATTCCACATTAGAGGAAACAGATTTTGTTATCCTTGTAGGAACTTCTGAGAGAAATGTATGCTACATCTAAGTGTGTTTGCTATGGGATCTTATTGAAAATAGAACGTTATATTCATAGGGAACTGTAGCCTTTGTACATCGATCGTGCTTGGAAATATGGCTAGGAGAATCTAATACAACAACATGTGAATTATGTCATCAAATTTTCAAAACGGAGCGAACACCAAAATACACCTCAGGGCATTCGATTTTCTACTGGTGTAGATACTCATCGCCTGAGAATCCAAGTAGAGTAAGGAGTGATGTTCTTGCTTGTGCTGTTATAACCCCATTAGCTATTGTCATAACATATGTCTGTCTGTTTTCTTCAGAGTATTATAGCCAGAAAAAATTTTCAAATGTGCCAGCTGCAAGATGGACCTCGGTTTCGCTTCTGGTCATGATTGGAATAATGTTGATCGGATACTATATGTGGGTTTATTCGGTTATGAGGATGCATGCCCGAATGTGGTACAATTGGTGGCAGAGAACCTGTGATGTCAGATATATACCTACAAATACAAATACAGGCCGCGTGTTGAATAGAACCGTTGATAGAACTCAGCAAACTCGTAGACACCCTGACATCAATGATGCTGAAAGAGGGCAAGCTAGTAATCAAAGACTTGCTGACAAGAGCCAATTAAGTGGTACTACTCGTTTTGGCTCACTTCTAGAGAACATCAATCATAATCCAGAGTCTGGGAGCATGTGTGATCATGGAAGCCAAAAGTCCAATATTATTTTATTTGAACTTTGTGATGACTAAATATAAAAATAATGATACAAAATTTATTGTTTCTATTTCATTTTGAATCTTACATTAATTATCAGTAGGTGCGATGTAGAGTCGGATGTATAGATCCAAAAACACCTCTAGCACATCCAGCGAGCACAAACATCCTTGGGATGTTTTGAAAATGTTGGCAAGAAGATGTTTTCTTGAGACCTGATATGCAATGAGTGTGACAGAGAAAAGAAGTTTCGATATTGCGCCGTCATGCACACCCATTGAGCATATGGAAACTTCGAACGCAAATATCTTCATGATCATTTGAAATAACCCTATCAAACCTGGTATCGCGAAAATGCGGGAATGGGGCAATAAATTAGCCTAAAATGAGCCCAGAATTATGAGATGTGTTTCATCTTAAAATTTGTAAAAGTGGCTTTGCTAGCATCTTTAGTATGTCCGATACCCAATGAACATACCCTGGTATCTTGTATCTACAAGATTCAACTTTGGAGGAATTCACAAATCATAAATCCAATCAGAACTTTTCTTCAGAGAGAAGTGGATTTTCATTTCATTATTCCTCATCAAAAACATTAGTAAATTTCAAATAAATGTATGGAGGAGTGTATGCAAGACTTTGATACTCTGAGTAATGCTCTGATTGTTTTATTCTCATGATTTTATGGGTTCACATGAACTGAGACAGATACAATTACTAAGGCTTTGGTAATAATATATTTGATTTAATAATTATTAGAACAGTACAATTTCATTACATACATACCTATCTGATTTTATTGGCAATGTGGAACAATCAAGTAGTTAGAGAATGTTTATGGAAGGCAATAATGGGTTCTTCATGTGAAATTATTATTCCCTTTGCTTGAAATGGTCAACAGGCTCCTTCACTCTCAATTTTTCAATAATATCTAAAATTTCCAACCTTTTGGCTGAAATTGTTTCATTATTCAACTTTGGGCAATCCCAACCCTTGATCTTCCCATTACATACTGCAAAACTAGCCAAATTCTCTGCATTACAAAGAACATGCATACCACAGTCATATCCATTATTCTGTTGGAGACACAACACATTATCAATTTTTTCTTGAACTGGGAGAGCAAAATATTTGAGTATTTTTTGTCCAAACTTGAATGCCTGCAATTCATTGATTCCACTTGATGAGTCATAATGAAAAATTCTTTTTTCAGGTCTAGAAAATACTAAAAGACTCCAATGAGAGCCTCCAGACATGTCTATTTTCTCATGATCATTCAAAGCGAAAAAAATGAAGTCTTTTTTGGCATTGCTCAAAAGGGGTTCCAAGAATACACAGAGTTCTTGCTGTTGGGATATTTTTATACATTGGGTCACTTCCGGTGACACAAATGATAAAGCTGTGTTGTTTTTGAATACATATGTTTCTAAGTATTCAAAGAAAAATGATATAATGGTGTCATTCAGCCAGAATGGTCCTTTCAATATATCAACATCAGATTGTCTGAGAAGACTTTCATTGTAACTCAAGACTATGGTGTCAGTATTATGATTCATATTGTATGGATTTGGTTTGACCACCGCGCACATCTAGGCAGTAGGCACCCTATTTCATTCACAGTTCACACAACCCGACAAGCGTTTATCTAAAAAGTATTCCAACATTTTCAACATGTTCTCAACCTCTCAACCTTAAATCGACGGCATCAACATTCTCAAATCTCAACCATCTCAACTCTAACCTAACCAAAAAACTAACACTATCTGACATCTGACAAGAGTGACAAGACAAGACATCAAGAATATCAAGATTGAGAAGTTGTCATTGTCATTATTGTCAAACTTTTAACATCTCTTGTCAGTCTCTTTGGGAAAATTATAAAATCGAACTGGAAGATCTTACAGTGGCAGTAGACGCTGAAGCTGAAACTGCCACAAATCACTATTCTACAAGAATATGGTTTGTTATTCCCACTTTAGATCAAATCAAAAGGCCTGTTCGTTTGTGCTTGCTCTACCTGCTGAACTTGATTTTTTTTCAATACAAATGAACAGTTCTCTAGTGTCGTTTATTATATTTTGCAACTTACCGATTCCGGTTGCTACTTTTCATTCCGTTTCACTCATATATCCTTAGATCATACAGCATATATCTACAAGGACGGAAAGTGAAGGATGGTTTGACAAGTTTCGAATTATTTTTCCCCTACGTCGGCATCAACGCCTATTGGTCGATTCCGTTACCTATAGAGACAGAAGTTGGTCCCGCTTTGAGGACAGGAATGCTTTCTATATGGTTTCAGCAGCGTTTTCACTACAAGGAATGACGTGGAGGAGTGTTGTCAGTTGTCAAAAAATGAAATTAGACTGACCAAAAACGAAAATTCTTGATTCATTCTATTCTTGTTCTTGATTTTTAAATCTAGTATTATGACATTGAAATTTTTCGGAGCCCGAATATATAAATATGATAAATATAATCTTTTATAATATATTAATATATTTATGTCAATTCAATTCACCACCGTTACCAGAACGGAACAAATAAAACGCAGCTATTGTTTTGCTTAAAAATCAAATGTCAAAATGTCATTTGTCCAACGTCTAACAAAGTTGTTTTTAAATAAATTATGTAAATTGTAAATTCTAATCATTGAAAATTATTGAATAATATCCTATCATTCCTATCGTCAATCGTCATGACACAAAGGGGTATTGAAGATGGCCAACCGTTATCATCGATTCGATGAATATTATTTAGTCAGTGAGTCTGATATGGAAAATGTTGAGTATGATGAGAGATCCAAACAATGTTGTTCAAGAAGATGCAAGATGATTTTAATCCTAATGTAATATCTATGATATTCACCGATTTTCTTCAAGTATCTGATCTATTATCAATTTCAGATTCGTTGTTGTATTGGTGCTATCATTTCTCTTTGTCTTTGTGGTGATACCCTTAGTTTTTATGAACTCCATAAGCTTGCAAAGATTGCTCATTTTCACAAGATGTAAGCCCAATAGATGCATTTTTGTATTCCATAATTAATATGATATCCCATTATTTTCAGTTAACCTGCCTTCAAAAACAAAATATTTTGAAGAATACAAGTTCCCTGCTTTCAAGAATGAATATGTAACAGTTCAAGATTATGATAGTGGTACAAATAAATCTTTAGGTGTTTGGCACATCCTGCCTGTAGAAGAAGGCATAAAGGCTCTCAATGATTCTAAATTTGATTATAATCTCTCATTAGCTACCAGTAACTACAGTGTTCTGATTTACTTTCATGGGACTGGAGAAGTCAGAAGTTTCAGTGAAAGAAAATACCAGCTCTTGAGTTTTTATTTTCATGTTATTGCTTTTGATTACAGAGGTAAACATTGCACTTTAGATTTGTTCATGTGAAGGAAACTTTGACTATTCAAGGTTATGGTGATTCATCATCTGGATACCTGTCTGAAAAAACAATAGTTAATGACTGTGTTCAACTTTATGGCTGGATTCGCAATAGAACTCAATCACCTATATATATTTGGGGTCATTCTCTAGGCTCTGCTGTGGCAGCAGAAACTGTTGCTACTTTGAAAAAAAAAGATGAAAGTCCAAGTGGATTGATTCTAGAATCTGCATTCACTAGCCTTGAAGAAGAACTATATGTCCATCCTTATGGAAAGGTACACTTAAATTCTTGAAGGGGCAAATATTTCTTGTATTTCTCTTTCCTTTTAGATTTTTGCATGGTTGCCTTGGTTTAAAGCAACAATTTTGGAGCCTTTACATAAGAATGGTTTCATTTTTGACACAGCAACTAATATAGGACATATAACTTGTCCAATAATGATTCTGCATGCTGAGGATGACAATGAGGTTCCTTGCAAGTTTGGAAAAAAGGTATTTTTACCTTTTTTTTTTTTCATTTATCTGTGGATATAGTCACTTATTGATTTTCAGTTGTATGCCATAGCATCTGAAAGGATGAAAAATGGTAAATATATTCCAACTATATACCATGAGTTTGACTCTAATTTGAGTTATGGACACTTCTTCATTTATCAAGATCCATTTTTGAAGTATTACATAATGTAAGCTCTTTATAAATAGTCCAATGATGGATTGGAATAGTTTTTATCATAAAAAAATTCTGTTCTAGGGATTTTTTGACACTAGCAAAAAACCAGTCTACCTATTGGTGGCATTAATATCTACATGTATAGCTCCTATCAAAGAAAAAAAGGCTGTGATTTTTGTCTTTGAAAACACCATTAATAAGCATGATAACTGATAGAATTATTATTAGTTGTATCTGTAGTTTGATAAAAATCTGAGGAAAACTGTTATTTCATTATAGATAATATTTTTTCTGAAATATATACTTGCTAATTTTCCACAATTTCTTGTCCTTGAACCTTTGTATTCAAACATCAGTGTCAAAAAATTGAGGATGTGTAACTATCTGAAAAAACTTTGAATTTCAAATATTATATAAAATGACTGGACTATGAAAAGGTCAATACTCTATAGGTCCAAGGATATCTTCATCTTCCTCAGGAAAATGCTGCTAGGGTTATCATTATCACTTCTACAACAAGTCTAGAATTCTAAATAATATGATATTATTTTATAAGCAGTTCATATTTTTTCGGATTTTTAATGGCTAGGCAGAAAGAATAGAACGTGTTTAGTAAAGGTCACTTACATAACCTCCAGGTAATGTTTTTATACAAACAGAAATAGTAATTTTAAATAGGTATACTTACCTACCTATTGAAAACTTTCTAATCTATATGCCTTGTATTATTTGTAGTTGATAGTAAATTGGATGTGTTATACAGGTGTGTGAGACATTATGTTATTGTAAAAACAGCCTTAAATATCTCTCATCCATGTCTGGGAAAATAATCGAGAGAATTTTATAATCATTATTTTAATGTTTTAATAATGTAAAATCAGTTGCATCAGTACTTGATAACACTTTTTTCAAGAAAGACAGTAGGTAACTTTGATAAATTCCTAGCTAACCCAATCAATAAGAGCGGGATATTCAAATGATTGCAGAATAAATTAGCAGGAAGTAATGAATTTGATAGCTAGATATAATGATTATTCAGTAATGCAATGTGTTGTTGATTGTTGTAATTGAGTAGGTAACCAGATGGTGAGTTAGATACATTTCAAAATGCATCAGGTGAGTCTATTTTCAAATTAATTAATTATTAGGACTAAAAATATATTTCTTTCAGAAATTACCTATGAGAAATAAATCAAGAAGTTGTTGTACAAAATGCCTCTTAGGCACCCTTTTATATGTGTAAGTTGAGGGAACCAAATCTCTCCCCTTATTCTAAATAGGAGTTCTAATATTTTCTTTTACAGTTTTGTTTTGGTGTTGCTACTTTTTGTGATAGTTTTTGTTATCATCCCTGTGGTGTTCAAATATAGCATAGGAATTCAGAGAAATATAATATTTCCATCCTGTAAGTGTCACTACAATTAATTTTATACAGTGTGTCCAAGTTCAAGATAAGGATCTCTATCATGGGGTAAAATTGATGATGTTTTCTCTGATACGAAACGTCCTACGGAAAATCTCTTGACGCTGTTTTGTAGAGCTTGAAAAGTGGCAATGAGAAAGTGTCTTTTGTTTTCCTATACCGGGTGTCAACGAATCTATTAGACAAGTCATAACTTCTAGACCATAAGGTGTATCAAAATGGGATTTGGTATAGGTGAATGGTATGTGAAGAGGAGAGTTTTCACATATTTTTCACTTTCCGGCCACTTCCGGTTTCACCGGAAATGGCTCCGGTTCTAAATTTTCAAATGGAACACCCTGTATATTGTAACATTTTTGGATTTCTGAGACAATTGACAATTCTAGATAAGAATGTTACATTTTCGAAAGTTTTTATGATTACTTAATTTTTTCGGAGTTACTTTTGAAATTACATATCTAGGTGCGATGATGGCCATGATCGGAAGTATTGGAAGTAAACTAATCTATATAAGGACCTCAGGTGATATTAGAAAATTACAATCGCGATGTTTTAGTGACAAGTATGATAGTTATGAATTAGACAAGTTGGCAAAATTACATTTTCGTGTCTATTATTTTTCAAATGACGACCATTTTTTGACAAGCACTTTCCTAAAAAAGGATATTTTGACGAATCTAAAGATACTAATTCATTAGCGATTGGATTACAAAATATAAGAACATAAATTGAATATTATATACTGACGAAAATACTTCAGAGTGACTCCGAAAAAATTAAGTAGGCATATAGAGACTTTCGAAAATGTCACATTCTGATCTAGAATTGTCTCAGAAATCCAAAAATGTTACAATATACAGGGTGTTCCATTTAAACATTTAGAACCGGAGCCATTTCCGGTGAAACCGGAAGTGACCGGAAAGTGAAAAATATGTGAAAACTCTCCTCTTTACATACCATTTACCCATACCAAATCTCATTTTGATACACCTTATGTTCTAGAAGTTATGACTTGTCTAATAGATTCGTTGACTCCCGGTATATCTTTAAATAACGTCAGGAAAAAATAAAAGCGATTCTCATGATAGACATCACCTTATCTTGGACACAGTGTATACAGGGTTGCCATCTCTAAAATATGAAATCCAGGACAAGGATACTTGAAAATCCCGACAAAATCCAGACAGTGATGGGGATTTCAAAAACTCGAATCATTTTTAATTCCAAAAATATTTCTTCAGATACCTTATACATATAAATATGAAGGTGAATGGTGAACAGAGATTGACATTTCTTAGATTATACCAGCGTACATACATTAGACTGTATGTACGCTGATTATACCTACATATTTATTTCTTGCACAAACCGAATAAAAACTCAAAACAATTTTCAAAACAAAGAAATTCTCAACAGTTGTAAAACAAAACCAAACAATTTTTCATAACCCATCACCTGGACATGTCCTGGAAAATCTGGACGGATGGCAACCCTTATACAGGGTTACTGGAAAATATGAAAGAGGTCGAAAATCTGGAGAATCGTATCGGCAATCATATAAAATCAGAGCTTAAAAAACAGATTTGATTAATAACCGTCGGTGCTCCTATTTCTACCAACCTCTTGTGTAAAATATATGTACAGTATGACCCACTTCTAATGAAAACACCCCTGTCTCTTACGTAACCGTTGGTTGAAGATCCTAAAATTTGCTGGAGCGAGATATACAGGGTGGGCCACCAGTAACGCCTCGGTCTCTAGAAGGCTAACCACTTATCTTCTTGGAATTCTTCCTCTCTAGGAAGTTGCATGTCAACATAGGCTACCATTTAAAATTATTTCGAAACATACAGGGTGTCCCCAAAAACCATAAAACACTGAAGTTAAACTTTTTTCTATCGAACACCCTATATATTTCATTTTGAGATTCTCCCTGATGAGCTGATTTCAACGACCCATCATACTTGGGGTCTAGCAGTTATAATTACTGAAATATAGGGTGTGAAAAATCGAGATTTTCCAAGTTCAAGAATTTTTTGTGTCGAAACTATTCATAATTGGTCAAAACGGCTTACATGTCCCTATCTCAACTTTTGATTAACTATCTACTGATATTCAATTGGGACATATACCGGGTGATCAAGATTCTGAATTCTGCACCACCCTGTATTTGTTTCAATTAAATGTCAGTAGATAGTTGATCAAAAGTTGAGATAGGGATATGTGAGCCGTTTTGACCAATTATGAATGGTTTAGACACAAAAAATTCTTGAACTTGGAAAATCTCGATTTCTCACACCCTATATCTCAGTAATTATAACTGCTAGACCCCAAGTATGATGGATTGTTGAAATCAGCTCACCAGGGAGAATCTCAAAATGAAATAATATATAGGGTGTTCGATAGAAAAAAGTTTAACTTCAGTGTTTTATGGTTTTTGGGGACACCCTGTATGTTTCGAAATAATTTTAAATGGTAGCCTATGTTGACATGCAACTTCCTAGAGAGGAAGAATTCCAAGAAGATGAGTGGTTGGTTAGCCTTCTAGAGACCGAGTCGTTACTGGTGGCCCACCCTGTATAATGGGGTCATCTTCAGTGATATACACTGCTCACCAACAGCCATGGAACCACCCCAATTTCCGGATAATGATATTAGGAGTCAAAATAGGTCGAAAATCACTTCAGATTCGGAATCAGGACGCCCAATTTACTAACTATTCATATTTTTCCTGGAAAATTCTCAGTTCTGAAAAATTGAATTTTGTCGCATTTTTTACGAAAGCACCCCCACTTTCCCTTTCTCCTGCAAATTTCAGAACCCTACCTCAATAATTACGTGAGAAAGTGAGACAAAATCAATTTTTTCTGAACTGAAAATTATCTAGGAAAACTATGAATAGTTAGTGAATTGGGCGTCCTGATTCCGATTCCGAAGTGATTTTCAACCTATTTTGACTCCTAATATCATTTTCCGGAAATTGGGGTGGTACCATGGCTGTTGGCGAGCAGTGTATTCAAATTTCAGGATCCTTACCCAACGATTAAGTAAGATACAGGGGTGTTTCCATTATAAGTAGGTCACACTGTATGTTAATTATCTCAGCCGAATTCATTTGACTAAAAGTTTTTCATTTAATTTTCAATTATCTTCGGGGATATAAAATGGATATAAAAATTCATAGCTAGTTTGTTGAAATGACCAAGCGTTTTTTTAAGGGTTGATTCAACCGAAAAACTATTCGGATATTGAAGCACTAGGAATAAAGGGTGTTCAAAATTTCTACGTCACAGTTGATAGAGAGGACATCCCTTCTCACACATCTGTTGAAAAAAATGTAACACTTGGTGTTTGGCAAATACTACCCTACGAAATTTTGAGCGAGCTCATTGACAATGAGGAATACAATTACGAAGGGGTTTTAAATAATGGCAACTATAGTATTTTGATGTATTTGCATGGAAATGGTATGGATCGTACTGGTGGTATAGAAACATATGAAGTGTTGAGGAAACAGTTTCATATATTTGCAGTCGACTATAGAGGTGATTTTTGTGTTATAATACATTTTTTTCACGCCTAATACATATTGCTTTCCAGGTTATGGAGACTCTTCAATGGCAGAAATGACAGAAACTCACATTGTAGAGGATATGGTTCAATTTTACAAATGGCTGATGAAAAGGACAAACTCGAAAATTTTTATTTGGGGACACTCTTTGGGGACAGGGGTTGGGACACACCTACTAGCTAATTTGAAGAAAGAAAATATATCTTCTATGGGTTTGATTCTTGAAACCCCTTTCACGTCTGTTACTGATGTCATGATCACTCATCCAATCATAAAGGTATCATTAGTCATTATACTTTCATTCAATTGATGATTTGTTCCATATTTATTCTTTTGATTGTTGTTAATGATGGAATTCAGTTTATCAATGAAAAATTATAAATTATAAGATATATCTAGAAGTTATTATGATTCCATTGATTTATCATTTGTATTTGTGCATTGTAGGTATTTTCATTTCTGCCCTGGTTTAGAACAACATTAATAGATCCCATGGTGTCCAATGACTTCAATTTTGAATCCAAGAAATATATTCTGGATGTGGATTGTCCAATAATGATTCTCCATGCCAAAGATGATACCATCATTCCTCATAAGTTTGCTACAGAGGTACGAATTCTAAAATAAGACCTATGATTATTAATATTTTCAGAAGCTCCTGAAATGGAGAAGTTTACTTTGGATGATTCTCCATTAAATTAGTTTTTTACTGCCTAGCTTTAGGTTTTCACAATCCAGAATGCCCATTGAATTGATTCAAAAGTATTTTTTTTCAAATGTGGCATATGAGTAATATTTTACTAAACACAGCTGTCAGTAACGTTTTTTGTAAACATCATATACATACATACAATTCCGTGCTTTCACGTTTAATCACTACATCCCAGCCAATCATGAGATGTATAAGTGATGTATATGCCACATCACTTTGTGACATGCGATATCGCATTTGAAGTCACAAACATGTTACCGCGATACAACGTGGCGATGTGAAAATGTCCGACTTAAGCAACATCACTGTGACGTCGTTCAGACATGAAATGCGACATCACATGAAAAATCGCTACCAGGTCACATACAAGTGTACATTTCATATTACAAATACATAACACTGCGACATCGATGATGTGGTCGCCGTACCTGTGATATTCGTGGGATATATAATAATAATACTTGTTCAACTTTACGAAGAAAATGTTTATTTTTCGAAAGTAAAAACAGATGATACAAAACTTATCATGAGAATCACCCTAATTAGTAATCTTGAAGTAAAACATGACACATATATATAGCAATACAAATATACATTATTCATAAATGATACATATCAAATACACTTACATTATCTCGGGATCTTTCATCCACCTTGTTTTAGATTGCAATATTCCTATCTCAGAGATAATTACAATGTTACGTATTGTGATTGAACTCACCGTCGTTCCTAAATGATTGTATACCTCCAATTTGAAGCTGCTATAATATGTGCTATAAATCATCTCAGATATTTCAACAGAGAATTTGGAAGGAAATAGTCTACGGAGTCGGACTCACTCACTGACTGACTGACTGACTGACTGACATGGCCATGCTCAGCTCAGCATGGCGTCTGGCGTTTGCGTTCGTTTTGCGCATGTCTGCGTCACACTCACAGGTCACAAAGATATCTCATGAGGATATCAATGTGAATTATTTAGTTAACGTCGAAGAGATGTAGTTTGAAGAAGTCGCTGCCACACTACATAGTTTCCTGGTTGTGATGTCACCTTGCGACGTTGATATCGAATCTACGTCGATAAGATGTGTTAACGAGATATTGCATTTATGCAAGGTTGTTACATCACACATCAGATGTTTATGTCACACGATGGTTGGCTGGGATAATCATAATAAATACATAGATACTATTATGAGCAGAATATTAAAATTATCAAAATTATCATAAGAAATTGTATCAAGAAGATATATTCCAGTATAGCATTTTCATTCATCAAGAAATTCGTTCACTTTATAGTAGCATTTCATTACTAGGTGTTTTCTCAATTTATTTTTGAAGATTTCCGAATCTATTTGTTCCGATTAAATGTCAGTATAGATAGTTGAGAGATAATTATCTCTGTAATCATTCCCGCTAGACCCCTAATGTGATACATCGATGAAATCAGCTCTTCAGAAAGAATATAAAAATACAATGAAATACAGGGTATTCCATCACAATAAAGTCAAATTGCAGTACATTCTTGGATTATTTTACTGAAGAGATATCAGAGACTATGAAAAAATAAAAAATACATACAAATGAAAATTCGAATACAGGTAGAAAACTTCCCGATTATGTTGATTTGTATTAACTTTTTTTTTGTACTGAAGTTGGTGTTTTATGTGAATAAGCATCATCAAAATCTTGAGACACAATTTCAAAAAACAATTTCTTGTAGCTTTATAATATTGCTGTGAACAACAGAAATGGGGATTATCAAGGAAATATCACCTACCATTTATTCGATGCTGGCCGAGGGTATGACCATTTCTTCATTTACAGAGCTCCTGAATTACCAAATTATATTGAGTAAGTAATCTCTAAAATTCAACAAATTGTGGTTAATATCTCGATATATTTTAGCAATTTCGTCACCGAATGTGAAATTTTTGAGAAAAAAATCCAGTAGAAGAAATGATGTAATATATATCAATGCCTATATATGTGCTTCAATCCTTCAACAGGAACTTCTTGTGATATTTTTCAACAAAATTTTAGGTTGTTCCCAAATTATTTTGGAGAATTGTGTGAAATCAAAACATTGTAAATAAATCATTCTGTTTTTATCAATGTTGTATATGTGTTTATTCTACATTTTTCCTTGAAAAACACCAGAGGTAAATATGCGAACCATTTTGAACTGTCTGTTTTTTCGTCAGCATCCAGATTCTCTAGAAGTATTTGAAGAAATAATCCTATATTATTTACATATTACGTGGTTCCCAGAGCGAATTCCAGAGCGAATTCGACAAGCAAGGGTGTATTATTTCTGATTTTGCAATAGGGCACGACACCATCACCCTCTGTATTTTATTCCATAATTGATGGTTATAGGGATTATCATAACGAATTCAACGATACCAGGGATGATAGGGCTATTTCAAACGATTAGAAGATATTCAGTTATTCCTGTTCAAAATTGTCATATGGTCATGAGTGTGACAGAGATAAAATTTCGATATGGTCATGAGTGTGACAAAGATAGAATTTCGATATGGTCATGAGTGTGACAGAGATAGAATTTCGATATTGCGCCATCCCATCACACCCATATTGAGCATGGAAACTCCATACCAAATATCTTCCTATAATCATTTGAAATAAAACCCTATCAAACTACTGATTATGGAATAAAATGGAAAGCTAGAGACGTTTCCGGTAAAACCGGAAGTGATGAGGAAGCAAGTAAAATATCGAAAAATTATATGTATAGTAGTTCTTGAATCCAAAATCCAGCACCTCTGCCGAGTTTGTATGTATATCATACCATTATTCATACCCTCAGAACTCTGGAAACCATGCATGGCTTGTCCAATGAATACGTTTTATTGACAGGACCCGGTATACTGCTAACATCATTATACCCACTGAACTATACCCTACATCAAATGATAATGGAATAACTATCAGGTTTATATACAATGAACTTCTAGTCATAGAATAAGAATAAGCAAAAAATGAGGAATGACTTCTTCTTCAATAATGACATGACATTCAGCAACACCCTGTAGTTTCCTACCTTTTTCAGTTCATTTTATATGATTACACTTCTGACTGATTTATATTGAGTTCATTGTGTAAATATGATCGAAATGTCGTTCCATTTCATGTCTTATTGCGTTTATCAATGATTCAATGATTGGAAAATGATTCATACAGCCTTCTTATTGATTCACGCATAGATCTTCACGTAAGCTATAGGTATTTTGTCACGATTCCACGAATTTCAATCAGGTCATGTTATGCGAAAGTCATCACTTATGTCACTAATGATGTTTCTTCACTAGGGTCTAGATCTTGTTCATTTCTAATTCGAAATTGCCGCGCAGAAGAACATCTTGTGATTCTTGGGGTTGGTATTTCTTCGGGCTGGTCGAAATTTAACATGGCGATTTTTGCGAGATGGTGTTAATTGTCATTGAGAGTTTTTAAACCTATTTTGTAAATGAAGTCATTGAAATTTAAACACCCAAACGCTAGCGGAAGTGTGAGGTATTAGTGTAGTGATGTTCAAAAAGTTTAAATAAGTGTGTAGATGGAGTTTCATTGAAAACAACAAAATGAGGTAAAGTAATCGGCTTTTGTGGTTTGTTTTATCTAAACTTACCATACCCCCAGTCTGAATTGCCTTCTATTTTTATCAAACTAATTGGTTAATCAATTTTTGTATGCAATCTTCATTTTATAAATTGATAAAATTACAAAAAAATACATTGTAGAATTCAATGTGAATTCAATACAACAATCACTATTCATTTGTTTATATTAGTTTATACCAAGGTTATCTAGATGATTAATGTTTTATTGAGATTTGTCATGCTTTTCTTGTATTTTCTAATATTTTTATTGATTTCGAAACACTGGGTGTGTTGAACCTATCCTTCCAGACTGAAGGAGAAAGGAGGTTTCCATCTCTATGCTAGTTTCCTATAGGGGTAAATTTTCCGTGTTTCAATGCGGAAATATCACGTTTTCCGCGGTGGCATGGTTGACAATAAATTATTTTATTTTTTGTTTGAAACGTGTTATTTTAAATGTGGGATAGGTATTGCAGACGATAGCAGATTCTCCGTTTTTCATAGAAATGTAGACATGTTTCATCTCATGGCTTATTTGTGTATACAAGAAGAATCACGATCATGTTCAAGATAGTATAGTGCCTACGAGCCCAAAAATGGTCAGATACTTCCCCTTCTGAGTAAAAGCAAATCCTTCTGAACAGGCATAGAGTAAGTATAAATGAAGAGATTCAGGGGCAGACCCACCCCTGAAACCCGCGGAGACACCCCCACCCCCTTCTCGAAGGGGTGGTGCGCACAGTTGCATATAAATATTATTTTCTCAAAAACGGTGAGAGATAGAGATTTGTGATTTACGCCATTCGAAATAAAATTGAATTGTACATCTGATAGATATTTTTTGACTGATCAAAAATCTCAATGTCAGCTCCCAATAAAAAATATATGGGAGGAGGGAGTTCTAGGCTGTCATGTTTTTCCTCATAACTATTAAACGGCCCAAAGAATCGAAAAATTTAACGAGAGAAAAAATGAAGCTTGCAGTTTTTTCTATCGAACGATATATATAAAGTTGGAGATATCTATATAAATAAGGCATCCAGTGGCGTACGAACACATGCGCGTTTGGTAGAATAATGTGTGAAAAATGATAAAAAATACCTACCTACCTACCGTTGGTGCATGCAACGTGAGAAATGAACATTTTACTATATGACGTGAGAGGAAGAAGTTGATTTACTCATCACACAGACTAATAATTATGTCGGATACTACTTGGATTCAAGAAGGAATGTGGACAATCTAACAATAAAGGTACAACAATTTAAACATTTTTATTGTAATAAAAACAATATGAAAGCATTAAAATTGACTCATCGACTCCGTAAACTACATAAAACAATCTGAGAACATGAAAATTACCTCATCAACTCTGAAAATGAAATAAAACAAATATAAAATCAGGTACTACAGCGCTAATTGCAGCATTCTTTACAGGTACATAATTGTGAACATTTTAATTTCCTCAGGAAACATTTGCATTTATGATCACAAATTTTACATTGGCATTTAATCATTATATCTGTTTCCAATCTTTCGTTCTTGATAGTTGTCCACTTGTCCAGAGTGGTATCCATTTTTCTTCTTCCAATGTCCATCCCCATTGGGAGGGACACGGTAATTCCAAATTAGCAGTAGCTAAATTGCCCCAAATATGGCCTCCCTGATAAATGCATCTTCTGGCGTGTAATGAAAGTGCATTGGATGTGGGTGGAAGATTCTCAATAGACCTATTTTTTTTGAAAAAAAAGTCCATTCGACAAACATCTAAGTTTTCTGCTTCTGAATGTTTATCATACAAAAATATTACATACTTTTCTAATATATTTTACTGATTTTCATCAGGTTGTTTGTCAGCTCTATGAATACATCTGTTACGGCAGAAAAAACATTCCATGCTTCCCAACATTTTCTTTTTTCTTTTTCGAAGAAGGCTGATGTTACATCGCACCCAGTGAAAGCGTGAAACATTGGCAGACCCAGGCATTTCTCTTTCAATTTTTCAGAAATTTCTACGCAAGAAATGTACTTCATATTCTTTCCCGTACCAAACTCTATCCAAATATCCTGCTCTTGATGCTGATACTGATAGAAAATTGCGAGAATGATCACATCAGTATCCATGCACAGTTTTTATCAAGATTCTTTACAAATTATTTCCCATACAATTTTGAGTATGAACAAAAATCCGAGTATCAGCTGCCTCATGGTTGCAAACACCAGTTATTTTATTGATTCCTAGGGATCCACTATTGTAAAGTGTTTCCTCAATTGTATTACATACTACTACTGTATTCTCGGGTAATGGCATGTCTTTGAGGTGGTTCCAATTTCGTGGAATGCTGGTGTTTTCTTATACCAATTTCCTGTTCCCTCTTCCCCTCTTTTATCTTGTACTTGCCTTCAAGCTCTTATCAATATAAATATCCCAGATTACATCAATCCTTTCAGAGGTATCTAAAATTCTTAGAATATAAGGCTTTACAATAAGAGAGATATATATTCCTGAAAAGTACAGCAAGCCTTGGGTTGTAGTATAATTATGTACTAATGCAGCACCATCAATCAATACAGCATCAACATCAGTTGGTTTACTCTCAACTGTTATGTATTTGTCTAAGCATCGTAATAAATCTGATTCTGTGCCATGGTACATTTGACCAAGTTGAGCGAGTGAGGGTTGATAAGGATGATTCTCAAATTTGAAAAAAAATTTCAGGTCACCATCTCTATTCTGTGACACAACGTGAAGTCTACTGAATAAAGTAACATCTGATTTCAATTCTTTCACTTTACTTGATTTATTCTGCTTATTTTTTTTTATTCTTGAAGGGAATGTTATTATTTTTAGTGATTGGTTCAGAAATTGATTTTTTCGAGTGTATCAACCTATCATGGAAAAATTCTCTGCATTGATGGACGCCTTTATCTAATAACAGTCTCAAACTTTCGTCATTCCCGACAATTCTACTATCTAGAGCGAATAATTCAGTTGAGGTTTCCTGGAACGGATTACCATATGTTTTGAAGGTATCTGATCCCAATGAAGATGGACATTGGAAGAAGAAAAATGGATATCACTCTGGACAACTATCAAGAACGAAAGATTGGAAACAGATAATATAATGATTGAATGCCAATGTGAAATTTGTGATCATAAATGCAAATGTTTCCTGAGGAAATTAAAATGTACACAATTATGTACCTGTATGGAATGATGCAATTAGCGCTGTAGTACCTGATTTTATATTTGTTTTATTCTATTTTCAGAGTTGATGAGTTAATTTTTATGTTCTCAGATTGTTTTATGTAGTTTTCGGAGTTGATGAGTCAATTTTAATGCTTTTAGATTGTTTTTATTACAATAAAAATGTTTAAATTGTTGTACCTTTATTGTTAGATTTTCCACATTCCTTCTTGAATCCAAGTAGTATCCTACATAATCATTAGTCTGTGTGATGAGTAAATCAACTTTTTTCTCTCACGTCATATAGTAA